GCCACCTGGGCACTCTCACGGACAAGTCACGTCATTCTTTCCCAGTTTAGTTCCATTATGAGAACTGGTACTTGGGGAAAGTAGGGTAACACAGTACTAGGAGCCCTGGTTTGGGAGTCAGACAGTCTGAGAACAGGACTTGACATTGCTGTAAACTGTGTCACTGAGCAGTCAGGACTTCATTTAGTGTCATAGCCTTCATGAGAGCTTTGCAGGGCTTATTAGTTGATTTACTAAAACAAATTTTCTGCTTTTCTTCAATTGAAAATAGGGATTTGTACCTCAGTGCCATAAAAGTACTCAATAAAAGTAGTACTCCAACTTGGTAGCTGACTGCACTATGGCTGCAATTAAAAGTATTATTGGAATGGAGTTCTTTCAGTTTTTTGGAAAAGAACGGCATAAAAAAGTATATTTAATGGAGCCATGTTCTGCTTTGTAAAATGTAGGGAGGATAAGCGGATTTCTCAGGTGCTTTCTGGCACTGAAGTATATCTGATGCTGTGAGAAAAGGGCATAGCTTAGCTGCAGCTGCACCGTGTGTGTCAAAATAGAACTGTGCTCCATGGAATTTCCAGTGACTGGTTTTTGGAAGTAGATCACCTGACCTGTCTTCTGAGGTACCATGTGGTGGACCCAGACCTCTGACCTTTTTGTTAGCAGCTGAACCAGACTTAACCACTGCCATGGAGCCAATTCTGATTCATAGTCACCTTTTTGGACAGAGTAGAACTGCTCATGGAGTTTCCAAGGCTGTAAATCTTTATAGAAATCCAATGCCTCACTTTTACTCATTGGAGCTGCTGTTGGGTTCAAACCAGCCACCTTTTAGTTAGCAACTAAATGCTTTTAGACATTAGGTCTGCAGGGCTCCTCAGCTGGTCTATGGAGGATGGAGTTTCTTCCATCTTATCTGCTGAGTAATACCTGACAGGTTCCAGATGCAAGCCAACTCTGCTCACTATTAACTTCTTTAGAGAATTTTTTCTCCTTTCTCTTTGTAATGTGTAGTAGCATTTTTACACACCTTAGGTAAAATAGCTACTTAGGTCCTCAGAACAGTTGTTCTCAGACAAGGTCAATATTATAGCTACATTGTGTAGATGAGGAAACTGTGGTTCAAATTATGAGTTGTCAATGCTGTTTGACAGGTAAAATGACAAGGCTGCTTCTCTTTTTATCAGATACCCTCTTACTACTTCATATGTATTCCATTTTAAGCTTAAAATTAGCAAGGTGGATTTTTGAGAATCCTACCTCCCTGATCTGAAATCAGTTAATTTTAAAATGTTACACCATTTTGAAACAAGAAGAATTTTACTTACTGGATCTATTTGTGATTTATTGACTATTCCAAAGCATTTGACTGTGTGGATCATACAAATTATGGCTAACATTGAGAAGAATGAGAATCCAAGAACACTTAGTTGTTCTTATACGAAATCTATACCTAGACCAAGAAGCTGTTTCCTGAATGGAGCAGGAAAACAATGTGCATCAGGGTTGTATCCTTCCTTCATACCTATTCAGTCTGTATGCTGAGCAAATAATTCAAGAAACTGGACTCTGAGGAAAAATGTGCCATCAGAGTTAGAGGAAGACTCAGCAACCTGCATTATGCAGATGATATACCTTTGCCAGCCAAAAATGAGGATTTGAAACTTTTAGTGTAGATGACCATGAAACTACAGCCTTCCATATGGGTTACATTTCTACATCAAGAAAACAAAGGTCTTCATCACAGAACCAACAGTCAACGTTATGATTGAGAAAGGATTCAAACTGACAATTATTTCATCTTCCTTGGATAAAGAATCAACACCAAAAGTCAGGAAATGAGGAGACATATTACATGGGTACGGCTGCTGTCAGGGACATCTCCAGAAACCTGAAGAGCAATGGCATCAACTTGAGGACTAAGGTGTACCTAATTCAGGTCATGGTCTTCTCAATCACCTTCTACGCGTCAGAGAGTTTGATAATGAATAAGGAATTGATGCTTTTGAGTTGTGGTGCTGGAAAAGTGTGTGCCATAGACTCCCAAAAGAATGAACAGCTGTGTCTTGAAAATACCGCTGGAGTGCTCTTTGGAGGCAAAGATGGTGAAGCTTCATCTTTTATACTTTGGACATGTAGCTAGGTGAGGCTGTTCATCCAAGAGGGATATCGTGCTTGGAAAAAATGGGAGTTCAGTAAAGGAGAGGAAGACCCTCAATGAGATGAATTGATATGGCCACTTCAGCAATGAGCTTGAGTGGTTCAGAAATTATATAGATGGCATAGGATAGGGCAGGGTTCTGCTTGGCTGTTCCTAGGGTAGCTACGAGTCATACTCTACAGCACCTAACAAAAGTAGTGTAAAGTGAGTATCTCATGTGTAAAAACTGTCTGGGAGGAAGAGAAATTTACACTTCTGCCACCAAATAGTTTACCTTCTAGAAACAATACTAATAATGAATACCAAGTTTTGTGTAGTAGAGGATTTCTTAAAAGCACAGATGGGTCAGGGTTGATAAGAATCTTAGAATGTTGAAGACCAGAGTGAGATTCAAACTAAGGCTACACAATTCCAACTGGGGTTAGTTAGTTAGTTATTAAATTAATTAATGACCATCACAAGAATGTGGCCAGAACAGCAAAGCACTGGGGCCAGTCATAAGGGCTTCTGTTAGTCCAAGTCTTGTCTTGGTACAAACAGTTATTATGTTTGTCTGTTAACTGAAACATTGGAGATTTTGAGAGAAAGGCAGCATCATTCTGGGAAAGATAGAGGGTCGGTGAAAGAAAGGAAGATCATCCACTAGATGGATTGACACAGTGACTGAAGCAGTGATAGATTGTGAGGATGGCACAGAACAGGACAAGGTTTTGATCTCTTGTTCATAGGGTCACTGTGAGTCCGAGTTGACCTGACAGAACCTAACAACAACAAAAACAGCTCTGCTGGTGTAGTCTATAGAAAGTTGCACTGCTAACTCAAAGGCCTAGCCTCTCTGGTGGTTTGCACCTCTTTGGGAGAAAGATGCATAATCTCTGTGCTATTTACAGTCTTGGAAACCATCTGGAGTCAGTTCTGATTCGACAGCAGAGAGCTGTGACTTGAAAGAAAGACCTGGCAATTTATTCTGAAAAATTAGCCATTGAATCTCCAGTGGAATACAGGTCTCCTTTGCCAGTATGAATTGGAATTGACTCAAAGGCAACCATTTTTTTCAACCACTGTGGAACGCGGTATGGCGCTTTCTCAAAAAGTTGCAAATAGAGATACTATTTGATCCAGAAATTCCACTACTGGGAATATACCCCAAAGAGACCATAACTGACAACCAAACAGATATATGTACACCTATTTTTATTGCGACTTTGTTCACAATAGCAAGGAGTTGTAAACAACTTAAGTGCCCATCAACCAACGAATGGATAGAGAAGCTGTGGTATATTCACAAAATGGAATGCTACGCTGCATTGAAAAACAAGGAACTCATGCAATATTATTAAAAATGGGTGACTCTGGAGGACATTATGCTGAGTGAAGTATCTCAGTCACAAAAGGA